AAGAGAGATGGAAAGAAAAATGTCTTGAGAAAAGAAAACTATATGATATCATTATCAGTGTGATATCAGTTCAGAAATTCACTGGAGAATGGGCTGAATTACTGAAGCTGATCAGAACAGAGCTACTACCAAAGACAGATTTTGCCTTTAAGCCGAGCCTTTACTTAGCAGACTGAAACAAATTCATTTAGCCTCATCTGTTTTGGAACATGAACATGATTTTTCTATTTAGTAATAAGTATTCACTTGTTTCTTGGCACAATGTTGAACTCATTTGTTCAATCACAATAAAGATTTATGATCATTTTTGAAGGAAAATGTCTAGAAATAATCTAATTCTTTTTGCATATTTATTGCTAACAGAAAAGATTAAATAGAAGCAATTGAAGCAAGATAGGTCTGGTAAAATGCAGAGTTATGGAATGTTCCTTTGAGAAGTAAGCCCTTTGAGTGAGTTGTTTTCTTTCATGTTTGTTCATATTAAAGCTGCACTTGAAGTGATAGTTGATTGGATCTCCTACACTGCTTCAGACTCCTCACAACTTGATTTTCATAGTCTTAAGGTTTTTAAATCTACTGATTATTGTAATGTTAATCACTTAAACATCTTTTGTACTCTTGTTGTTAACAGTATCTATTATTTACAGTAGTCATGTGCTAACCACATTAATTATATGTAAAAAGATAGACTTTCATAAAATGACAGCATTAACAAAATTGTTCAAATAAGGGAATAGTGAAGGAAGCAGAACCATTACAGCAGTGCTAACTATTGCTTAAGGAAACAATGGAGACATTCAAACAGAGGTGAACCTCTGCATAGAAGGATGTACACTTAGCAAAAACATGCAAGTTTTGTGTCAGACCTGGAAGGTAAAAATATTGCACATATATTTAAATTATTATTCTACAGTGATGTCTCCAGGCATTTCCAATGGGAGGGATTTATACAGAACATCTAGATTGAAAAGGACAGCTCACTAGAGTCTCAACCAAATGCCTCAGTATCAGCTAGAAGCCCATGCTGCCCCAAACAGCATCTGTGATCTCTACATTGAGCAAACTCCAAAAACATCTGAGCATTTAACTCCATATATTCTTGTGTTTATGTAGAAAAGTTCTGACCCCCATTAGAAATCCCCATGTGTGCTGATTTGGTTGCTCTCTCAGCACGCGGGCATCTGTGGGAAGGAAACTCAGGGCAAGAGCAGAAAGGGAGCCAGACTGTGTTCCTGTAAATCTCCTGATCTGGGTGGAGATGATGGGACATGCTGCAATGCGCACCCACAGCTCACTGTAAACAAAACCTCAATGATACACTCATTAGGAGACAGAACTGTTCTGTTTACATGACATAAACCGGATACACAGAGAAGACAGAGGCTCTGCATCTAGAGAATTTGTCAACCGCAGTAGACGAAAACACCTTAGCCTGGTATGAAAGAACCTGATCAGCAAAGCTTCTGCAAAGAAACACGTTTTTGTTGATCTGGTAAAAAAATGCTGTCTTGCTTTTGTGAAAACAGCAATAAAGAAGAAGCAAATGTGCTTTTTCTTTAACGCTGAAACTTCTTTAAATATTATTACTCCTAAAAAAGATTAATAAAAATATTAAGAAACTTTCCCTTATCTCTCAAGGATACCTTCTTATCTGCTCAGTGGTCCAAACATGCAAGAGGTGGTGTCTTCACTGCTCGGTACCCATTGCACTGTGACTCCAGCAAATGTTGTGGAAGAACAACTTGCCTGTAATTATTGTTTTCTTGCTTGTTTGTCTGAATTCAAGAGCTGATTATTAAACACTTTTATCACTTTAAGAGCCATATTAACTTAAAACAATGTGAAGAGCAATCATGGACTCTGTTTTGGACATCACAAATTCCAACTATTTCTATTGAGCATGAACAGACTCAGCACTTTTGATACTCTGCTGCTGACAGTTATTCTTTCTTTAACTTGTCTAGACAGCTTCTGAAACAATGAATTATTCAGTGAATTTCAATTCTATTATGCAGGTAAGCCATATCTCTGTAATAAAAATGCTATTTAATTTCAACAGTAAATGTTGGCTTCGCTGTACAAATAGATTAGCAGTCTCAGTATATGATCAGGTTAATGAAATTCACATAGCACTGAAACAGGAATAAATTACCTAGAGTCAAGATGATAATACATACACATGTATTTAAACATACATTTGTGCAAAGCTGGATACATTCTTTAGCTATACAGAGCAAAATAAATAGGTAGAGAGATAGATAATCATATCTATTTCAGATGTTTTGTTTTTGCCTTCAATTCTACATGATATTTTCTTCCAAAGCATTTGAAGTCACTCAAAAGCAGTAGTCGCAAAGGTAATCACAAAATCCAGTTTTCTGCAATTCAAATGCTGCCATTCAGACTGTAAGGAGAACCACTTCTTCAGAGATTCATCTTACCATAACCTCAGTGGGTCTTTACACAGTGTAATCACATTCCACTAAACAATATTACTTCATACACTTGGTTATAAAAGTTCTCTCTCACTGGGACAAAGTATCAGAAGGAAAAGAACTAGCTGATCAACCACTGGTGGCATTAAATCCCTGTGACAAAGCGGTAACGACTGGCACTGGATGAGTGTGGTCTGCAGTGTGCAGTCATTGCATTTCGGACCTTGCAGCACTAAGTGCCCTCCAGCTGGGCCTCAGTGTGGAGTGATGCTAGGAGGCAGGAGCACAGTGGCACAGCATGCAAGGGCTGCATGCCCACCCAGGAGGCACATCCCTGGCCTGGAGGGTCATGGGCTGCCTGATGGCAGATGTAGTTTTACCTGTAGTTAACTTGCCAGCCAGTGCAGTAGGGACCTATAAAGGCTTGAGTTCTGAATGTGGTAATAGTACACTATCAAAGGCTTAATTTTAAGTTCTGAATCAGATCTCTATTTAACCATAATATGTTCTATAAATATGTGAGCACTGATTATTGGATGAGATAGCTTTATGAGAGAGAAGTGAGAGAAGCAGAAGGAAACTGATTTGGGTTTCTGACAAAGGTTTCACTGAGCAGTTTTCCAGTACAATGATGGCATTTAAAAAATGTACAGTGTGAAAGGATTATGTGCATTTATACACATTCCAGTATGTTTTACATATATTCTCCGAGCAAGTTTCCTTTTTCAAGCAAGAATGCGCTTGCAACTATTCTGGAGTCACAAGAGACTATTTCACTCAGCTTAGTGGCATCTTCTAAAGTATTGTTCTCGGACCCTTCCTATTTTATCCTGGATAAGCTTAATGCAAGGAACATTCACATGTCTTAAAAACAAAGTCTGCAACATTGTCAACACATTGCGCACACTGGCTTTCACACTGTTGTGTTTTTCCCATCTCTCTTTCCTCCCTCTGTGATAAGCTTACTCTTCACTCTGCCATGACCAATATAGAAAGATGAGTGGGGCAGTGTTTCTATTCCTGTCATTGCCTCTGACTCACTGTATGGTTTCTTAAGCATTTGCATCTTGCATCCTGGTATCTAGGAAGATGAATGTGATTGTCAATATTTTCTCTAGGATCAGGGCATATAATAACATCTCACTTCTTGTGATCTCAGTTGTGCTTAATAAGAGCTGTGTCCACAACACAGAGTTTTACCAGTGAGACTACAAGCAGGGGCTCTCACTTCTACCTAGATTCCTACTTCAATTACATCTCTAGGAACTTACTTTTTAGAACTCTGCTTCTCAGCTAGATTTGACTTCAGCCAGCAGTCTCAAAAACTCAAGATAGGGCATGTGCATAAAAACATATGCACACAAAACAGTCTGAGCGCATTCACTTTCCTTTTTAATGAATGCTAAACTGGAGATATACAGAGACACTGAAAACAGGTTTTTCCGTAATGCTGCCTACCTTCTGCTACAGAGCCATGTAACAGCACTGCTGAACATATAAAAACATTGCTCTTTCATTTTTGGTACCTTTCTGCCTTAATTTCATCTACTGTCTTGTTTACCGTTCTTAGCAGATTCCATTCTTCAGGATCGTTTCACTGATTGTTAAAGAAGAGCAAACATATCGAATAAAATTAGCAAACGTATATAATTCTTACAAACAAAGATTTAGTTTTTAGCACTGGAATAAAAGCCAGAGACTTCCTACAGCTTGCAGATGCTGACAAAATGCAGATGCTGACAAAATCCATGCATGTGGAAATACAGATAGCTCCAAATAAGCCAAGGTGTGCCGCCTGCTTGCATCTTACAGCCTATGTTATTTTGACAGCAACTATTACTTTAATAAAGCATATCTTTTATCAAAGAAAATTCTAAATTGTTAAATAATGAGTTTGTCTTACAGACAAATGAGGAATGTATTTCAGTTCCCAGAGAACTGAAAGAAGCAGCAAGAACAGCACACAGTGCTGCACTATGAAGAATATGGTCTCCAAGGCACACAGCAACTTGAATCTTAAAAGCCACGACCAAATGTTAACAATCTGTTATGAGCTGACACAGTGCAGCCTGCTTATCCCAAACATGCTAATTTTTACAGGGTAAGCTGCCAGCCTTACTATTCAAAATTTATGTTAAATGTTCCAGTCTCTATCTTAACTACCAGGAATATCTTCACCATACAGTGGAAATCAGACAGTTCCTGGCTTGACAATTATTCACACTGACACTGGTGGGTGAAGTAGTTTTAGTTGGAGGCAAATAAGAAAATAAAACAACAATCTCATCTAGAAAGAGGTGCCTGTTTGACAAGCTAAGTAATGACATGAGTTGATCTTTGCTATTCATGTTCCAACTTACATATTCTTTTCTTGTGATGGGATTATCATACGCATTCTTCAAAAAGAAAAGATTATTCCCTCTCTGCATTAGCACACCTTCTCTAAGGCAGGCTGTAAATGTATGCAAGACACATTTATATAACAACACGTATGTCATTATAAAAGCAAATGGAAATACTGAAATGCATCAGAAAACAACTTAGGCTGAAATCTCCACAGGCAGTTTTTGGGTGCTAATTTGTGTGGAAATGCACGGACAGCCTTCCGCCAAAATAAAGAACCCATGCTGGAGAGGTCGGAGGTTTCCACGCTCTGGGTTTCTCGACTCAAGAGCAAACAGCAAAACAGAGTTGCTACACTGTAGTGAGAAGGCAGCTTCCACAGCATCCGCCCAGATTTGGTAGCGCTCAGTGTAGGCAGATGCCAAGCGTTACCCTGCTCTTTAGGAAACCAGGCATCTCATTGCAGCCTACCCGGCACTCACGCAGGAACACGCCGAGCGCTGCGAAGGCTCTGACGGGCACTGCCCCTCTGCTGGTAGGCGGCCGCGGCTCTGCCCAACGCAGAGCAGCCCTCGGGGGCCCATCCGTCCGACCTCCTCGGCCGCCGCGCTCCGGGACGATGCTGAGCAGCGAGCCGGTGCCTCCGCCCCGCAGCCGCCGGCAGAGAGCAGCACCGGGCACGGCAGGGTGCGGTGAGTAGCCCGAGGCGCGGCCGGAGATGACCCCCCGGCAGCACGGCGTCCCTCATGGAGAGCACGGCGGGCGGCCCACGAGCACTGCGGGCGCTGACGGGCTGCCTGCTGGGCGCCCTGGTGCTGGGCACGCTGGCGGGCAACGCTCTGGTGTGCCTGGCCGTCCTGCGCTTCCGCCACCTGCGCACTAAAGTCACCAACTGGTTCGTGCTGTCGTTGGCCGTCTCCGACCTCTGCGTGGCCATCCTGGTGATGCCTTGGAAGGCAGTCACTGAGGTGGCCGGTGGCTTCTGGCTCTTCGGCAGCCACTTTTGTGACACCTGGGTGGCCTTTGACATTATGTGCTCCACCGCCTCCATCCTCCACCTCTGCATCATCAGCCTGGACCGGTACTGGGCCATCGCCAGCCCCTTTCGCTACGAGCGCCGGATGACGCAGCGTCTGGCCTGCGCCATGATCGCCACGGCCTGGGCCCTCTCCATCCTCATCTCCTTTGTCCCCGTGCAGCTGCACTGGCACAAAGCCAAGGACAGGAGGCACCCCAGCTCCCGCTGCGACGTCAGCCTGAACCGCACCTACGCCATCACCTCCTCCCTCATCAGCTTCTACATCCCTGTGGCCATCATGATCGTCACCTACACCAGGATCTATCGCATCGCCCAGGCCCAGATCCGCCGCATCTGCACCCTGGAACGAGCAGGCGGGCAGTGGCCAGCCCACAGCAAGGAGCCTGCCTCCAGTCTGCGGAGCTCCCTGCGCAAGGAGACCAAGGTGCTGCAGACCCTCTCCATCATAATGGGAGTCTTTGTTTGCTGCTGGCTGCCCTTCTTCCTGCTCAACTGCCTGCTACCTTTCTGCCAGCCTGAGAGTGACAGCAACGGGCAGCCACCCTGTGTCAGCCCAACCACCTTCAATGTCTTCGTATGGTTTGGCTGGGCCAACTCCTCAGTGAACCCAGTGATCTATGCTTTCAATGCAGACTTCCGTCGGGCTTTCAGCAACCTGCTGGGCTGCCAGTCTCTCTGCTGCAGCACCACCAGGGCTGCAGTAGAGAGAGTCCACCTCAGCAATGAGCTGGTCTCCTACCACCAGGACACCACCTGCCAAAAGGACGGAGCCACTGCCACCATGCCTCCCACCACTGTCACAGCCTGGGTGCAGCCCGGGCCCCATGCAGCGAGTCTTCAGCAGGAAGACAGAGAGGAGCTCCCCATGGAGAAGAGGCTGATGAGTGCCCCAGCACAGGCTATCCCAGGCAGCAGCCCCAAGTGTTGTCATGTGACAGCCACTTTGCAATTGGACTGTGGGGCAGAGCTGCCCCTGGAGACTATTAATGCCTTTACAGGGCTTGGCAGGCATGAGGGACACCGTTACTCCATTCCAGAGGGATAAGCAACTGTATGTTTCACACACACAGTCATCGCACAGAGGCAGCTCACTGCCTACACATAAAGTATGCCTATATTCCCAAAAAATCCCAAACCAGAGGGATGGGAAACATTGTTTTTATCCCAGGGGAGTAACATGTGTATAAGCCCCATTCCAAAAGCACACAGCAATCGTATATTAACCTCTTCCCAGCTGCCACCTTCACCTCTTACCCTCTTCTATAGTAGGCAGATATTTCCCACATATCCGATTGCCCCAACTCTTCAGTCAAACTAACTTGTGATACTGAGAACTGTGTAATCACAAAATTTACATAGAAAACTTACTCTTAGATGTAGCTACATCCCTAAAAATGGTGGGGTTTTTTCTTGTTGTTGTTGTTTTTTCCCCCTCTCATGGTTTCATATCATATAGGTACATATCATATAGGTCTGAAAGTTTTGTTTGGTTTTAGTTCCGGGTTTATTTCAAAGCCATGTGTTCTGGATTTATACAAAAGAATCTGTGTTTAGGCTTTAAAAATTGCTCAGCTAAAACATCATCTTATGTTGAGCCAGAAGACTACTCAACCCCCTAGATAATCCATCTGCTGTTATGCAGGACCCCGAGTACAGTTTCAGGTATCAAACTCTGGAATCAGCATTTAATGATGTGGATCTAGGGAATTCCTAGTGATTACCCACCTTTTAACATCATCCACTCATCCAGAATTTAACAGCTGTCATTCAATATGCTCAGTGCCTCACCTGGGAAGCAATCCTGAACAAAATCAGTATTTTCTTAAAAGAGATAGATCATTGTTTTTGTTGGTTTGATTCTCTTTGGTTATTTTCTCAGTGATCATATATGAACTGCACATGGATTCAGAAGCTAAAGGATCAATATCAGTTTTCTTGAGGATTTTTCTTGCTACATTTCTTCCTCCTTACACAAATCAAAAAGTCATATTGTAAGAGTGGCAGCATCTTTTATCTCCTCCAAAAGAACAAGACTACATTCTAAAGCTGCAAGGCATCTCATCTCACTCCACAATGTTCCACAACAGAGCCATCCTGGGATGCCCTGGCACACCAATAAAACAGTCCTGATGAGCAGCCCCTCACTGCCTGCCACACTCCTGTCTCTGGTGCAAGAAATTGTTACTGGAGTCTTTAACATTTATTTTAATTTATTTTTATTTTTTATTTTTAGAATGTGCACAGACTCATTAGTAATGATAAAAGTTGCTAATCAATGGAAAGGAAAAGTTTACCTACACACAAGGTTTGCTCTGCATTTGAGAGCTGTCTACCCTAGCAAGACTTTTGTACTCAACATGAAAACATATATGACAGAATGGGTTGCAGAAACTAGGCTGTGAAAGCCTTATTTGAGCAATGTTCTCTTAAGAATAATCAGCACCAATGCCTGGCAGTGGTCATATTTGTGCTAAGAATGGAAAAGGCTTTTTGTATCAGTTCTTTTGGTTATGTTCTAAATAAGCTTCAATAAGAAGTCAGATTGTGCCTAGAAATTAATGGGTATTGACTTAAGGAAGAAAACAGCTTGACCTTTACTTCCAAAGCTTACTAAATGGACAGTTTAGAACTGCTCTTCTTAAGTGATTCTGGAAAGATTTAGTAGAATGGTAGAAAGTTTGTTCATGCCTAACTTGTAACGGTCTGTATTGATGTGCAGATGATACACATTACGATATCTTACAGCTGTACAAACTGTTGTAGTAAACAAAATGTAATGCTCAAGCCTGTAACAAACTTCAGAAATACTGTCCTATAAATTCTTTATACTCATTTTAAGTGGCATAATTAATGAAGGTGCTTCACGTGAAAATTAGACTGCATAGCCCTCTAAATATTGATATTGTATGTATTTGTATTTTCCTAAACTGGGGAGGTTCTTGAGCGATAACCTCACTAGAGCCCAAACAGCTCTCTGAGCAGTAAATGAGCAACACCTCTGTTGCTAAGAACTTTTCTCATTGATTGACTGTGATTTCTTTTTGATAACCAAACAAGCAGCTGAGTTACATAAGGCAAGACTTAATTAATACCATTAGGCTCAAGTGCGATGAGATGTATTAGAATTACAACAAAAAGCCAAAGGTTCATTTCAGCAGGATTTAAGAGACAAAATTCTTTCATATTTACACCATTGCAATCCCTTAGAAGAGGCACTTTCCAAAGTAGAAATTTAGCAGCACTTCATCTGCTTCTGGGTTACTTCCAAACACCAAACAAATAGTGAAGGTGTTGTTTTAGGGACATCTACACAGGGCTATTCCTCAAGCACACATTTCATAACTCAGATCAATAGATGCTCCTTTATGCGCTGACCGTATGTGAAGTATTTTTCTGCCTGAAAGCAGTTCAGTTTCATGCCTAGCTCCCCACTCACTGTACCATTAATGTCAAGATGACCTAAAAAATAGCCTTTAAATATCCTTGGTGTCAAAATGGTCCAACCTGACAGATACCACGTCTGAACACTTATTAACCAATGTCTAAATATGCTAATCAAAACACCAGCTACTTGCAGGAGTGGTATACCTTGCAGGGCTTTATGATGTACACCAGCTGCCTTCTCTGCTAAGGCAAATAATTCCTGTTCCCTTTTCCTTCTGGCAGTACTGGTATCTAGTACTAGATGTACTTGAACACCACGTTGAGACAATGTTTCATTTTGTTTTCTAAGCAATACTTTTCAGAAGCTAACTACAATACATGCATATACTTGACACTGGTTCCATTTTTGTGTTCTGTTGTCTACTACTTACTTGTTTGCTTGTCATGTCATTTATATTACATTTTAGTTTGCATTATACACAAACTTTCTGCGATTGCCATTTTCTAAGAAGCCTGTTACATCTACAGCACTGTCCCAATACATACCTGTTTCAGGAACTAGAAGGTACTGAAAAATCATGTGTTGCTTGTTCACCATGAGAAAACATGAAGCCTTGTGACATTGTTGCAATTCAAACCCTAATAACAACAACAACAACAAAAGAACCAAAAAACAAAAAACAAAAACAGCCTCAAAGTAAACTCCCCATCACCTAAATCCTAATAGATAAAGCCTGAGACTTCCTCCCAACCCCGTTTCCACCCTTCTACCCATAACCTTGAGAGAACTACCTGTTTCACACATCATCTTTCTTGCTCCCAAATGCACACAGACATGAAGCTACTGCAGAAAGGTTTCCAGCTTCAGCTCTTCCCACAAAGCACTACTCCATCACTAAATGATAAACAAAGCAGTAGAAAAGAAAACCAAAAGGAAACCATCACAAAAATAAAGATGGTTCACAATCTCAAGTCCAAGCTGCCACTTCACACAGCAAAAACCAGTACAGTCGTATAGATGCGCAGATTCACATTTAAATAAGCTTCTCAACTCTTCCACTTGGATGTTTTCATGACGGCACTTCACAGAAGCCTGTGACAGTTCTGTTAGCCTTTACATACTGCAAAAAGTGGTTCCAAAGTATTGAAGGAGATGATGCTTTTCCAAAATTAGTTTTCCTTCCTCCTTCCTTTATTTCTTCCTAAATACACTCATTTGCTTTGCTGAGTTGAAAATATCAATGTAAAAGAAGCCAAGGTCATACCTCAACCATGTATATATACACACATATATCCTCCTGGTACTAAGATGATATCTTAACATTGCATTTAAACCTTAATTTCAGTGAGAAACAGCTGACCTAGGTAGCAAAAGAGAAATCTGTTGCACCACTCAGTTGTCACAAGCATCTGTTGCTTTGCTGTTGCCAGAATCATGCCTCTCATGTTGGATTTCAGATGCTGCACCTACACACACCACATGAACTGTATTTCAATTAGTTTACTTTTTCTCAGTAAAAAACAATGTTGATAAAATTAATCCTTTGCTCTCCATAAACTGCTTTTTCCCCTCAGCCAAGGGGCTGAGAAACACCATCTACGCAGTGCCTCATCTGGCAGCTGGAAGTGGTTTCATCACCACGGTTACGTGACAACCACCACCAAACTCTTCATTTATCTCGTTGTTATAATCTAAGTCACTTTTCTGAATCCTCCCCCTTTTCCTGCACACAGGGACACGCAGCAGGCAATACCACCAAGTACTGCCTATTCCTCAGAGTTTTTGTTTTAAGTACTGCTTTAAATTTACACCAAAGAGCACAGATTTTCTCCTAGCATATTTAGTTTTAACAAATTTCTAGTAATTCAAGTCTGGGCTTGTTATCTTTTATTCATCCTTGCCTCCAATCACTCAAGACATTTTAAAAAACCCAGTGAACAATACCTGGCCTATACCCACAGTCCATATTTTTCTGTGTTATCTATATGATAGGATAGCTGCCTAACAGTGAAACTTCTGAAAACATTAAGAAATATATATAAGAAAGAAAGGAATAAAAGAAAGAAGGGGAGAATATTTAGAAGGGTCTGTTGTGATAGGTCAAGGGAAAATGGCTTCAAACTACAAGAGGGGAGACTTAGATTGGACATAAAGAAGTTGTTTCTTACACTATGAGTGATGAGGCACACAGTTTGCCCAGAGAGGTGGTGGGCACCCCATCCCTGGAGACAAGCAAGGTAAGGCTGGAAGGGACTCTGAGCAACATGTTCTAACTGTGGATGTCCCTGGTCTTTGCAGAGGAGTTGCACTGGATGACCTTTAAGGGTCCCTTCCAACTCAAATACTTCTATTTTATGATTTACTGAATGAAGATACCTGATTCAGCATGGGAAACTCCCCAGACTCTGACTAGATGAACAGAAAAAGTGATGCACATGGGATAACGTAATCAGATTTTGCACACTTGCTGCAATTTTTGCTGTTAATAAAGCTGAATTAATCAGAAATCATACTGAAAAGTGTGACAAGTTGTAATGATATTTACTAGCTGTGTAGAGCTGGGTTTGTCTCTTGTTTTGTGGTCAATCTGAAAATTCTTTCCAGTATTTCACCTAGATTTCAGGAAATAAAAATATGAAAAAACAGAAAGTGAACTATCAGTTTTCCAAAGTAACTTAAATAAATGTATGCATAAAATAACAGTGCTTTACAGATGACCAAATCAGTAATATGATCACCAAAAGCAGCATCACAGAAAACATTCTTGGTATTTGTTAATAGAGAGAAGAAATTATATAACAGAGCTAACTTTCAAGGCAGCAAACCAGTGATTAGACATTTTGTCTCTTACATTTAGGATTATAGTAGAACATCAGCACTGTCAGCCTAATAAATCATAATAAATCAACTGATAATGGTAATTAATAACCATAATATTTTCTCTCTAAGCAAGCATATCACACAGTATGGACCCAGTGCTT